GGGGGGGGGGGGGCAAAGGACCAGCTGCTGAGGGCCAAGGAGCGCAAGCAGGAGTCCCTTGCCGGCTGAGAGGCACATTTCACACACCGCGTAGATGGTAAATTAGCTTTGCATTGATTTTTTTTCCTCCTGCAAAACTTACAAGTGCTTTTCAAGGGCAGGCAGCAGAAGGGTCTTTGAAAGCAGGTCCCTGTAGCTAGAGAAATGGTAGAAAAGTTTTAAAAACAGCCAGAGAGGGAGCAGGATTCCATGCAGCTTCTTCAGGTGTCCCTGGTGTGAGGAGAGGACTGGTGAGCAGAAACAGCAGCCAAGGAGATGGTGGGTCAACTGCCCTTCTTGCGGATTCCCTCACACACACACACACACCCTGTTCCAAACCCATCGCCCTCCCTTGCAGTCAGCCATCGATCGGCCTCTGCTCTGGTGGTGCCCAGGAGGGCCGAAGACCTTCTCCCAGGTCTGGGGAGGCCTGCAACCTTCCGTTTCTCAAAGAGCTGGGCTCTGTCCGCTTGGTCCTTGGAGGAAGGGAAGGCATCGGAAGGCCTTCGAAACTCCCTCATGGCCCAAGAGGAAGAAGCCGTGCTGGTTTTTCCTGGTCAGAGAGGCTGAAGGAGGCGCAGAGCAAGTTCAACCAGCTGGTGATGTCATCACCGGTGACCTCACGATGGTGGCTGTTTTCCACCCTGTCAGCCGGTTGCCTTAACTAGGTCAAACTGATGCTGCTGCCCAGCCATTTGTGGAAGATGATGGCACAGCCCAGTCTCCCCAGGTCAAAGAGCAGCATTCTTAGAAGCCTCCTCCTCCTCCTTGTCCTCTTATTTACCTATATTATTTATTTATATTGTTGTTGTTGTTGTTATATGCCATCAAGTCACCTCTGACTCATGAATGAGAGATCTCCAACCTGTTCTGTCCTCAACAGCCCTACTCAGCATTTTCAGACTCAGCCTGTGGAGTCAATCCATCCCACATTTGGTCTTTCCTCTTCTCCTGCTGCCTCCCACCTTTCCCAGCATTATTGTCTTTTCCAGAGAACTTCTTGCGAAGTTTCCAAAGTCTTAATCATCTTATTCAAACTGGTGATGCAGAGTGCCACTGGGGTCATGTCCTGGGCCTTCTGTTGGCCATCCTGGAGTCAGAAGCCACTGTTCTTGGCCAACCAGCCCCATCATCATCATCAACAACAGAAACTTGGAAATGTAGGGTGGGGATTTCCCTGGTGGGAACTCTTGAGTTCATCCCCTCCATTGGCTCGGGGACCATGGAAGAGCACTCTGGGAAGTGCATCAAGAGGTGAAGTGACTCAGGCCAGAGGTGGGAGGCCTTCAGCTGGCGCAACCTCATGACGCCAGGAGGAAGTGAGGTCAACGAGGGCTGGCCTGAGTCTTCCTTCAGAAGAAATCAAGGAAGTGGAGCGACACCCTTCACCCTTGACCTATTTGTTTCTTCACATGGTGACACAGGAACAGAGAACGGAGGAGAGTGTGGAAGAAGGGAGTGACAAAGAGGAGGGCCACCTGCATGGCGTTCCATTCTGGGCAATGAAGGTCCAGCCCCTGAGTTTCGAAAGCAATGCAAGAGACAAAACTGGCATGACTTAACTGGAATAATGAGTAATCTTTCTTTGCCAGCTCCAATAGATATTTTGACTAGAACGGCCACTCTCTGGTGAATCTTTGGGAGTTTTCCAACAACGTTTAACCACAAATCATGAAGAAGTGGCAGTTGGGATGACAAACGTTGCCAACAAGCTGTTTTGTTTTTTTCAATGCTCTAGGCAAGTTACGGCAAGGCGGTTGCTCTCCAAACCCTGCTTAGGCAGGCAAAGTGGGCAGGAGAAGTGAACATCCCCCTACTTGACTCCCTGCGTGCTCGAAATCCATGGATGGAGAAGCCCTTGGACCAGTCTCCACCTTCTCTCTGACCGCCGTGGTTTATTTAGACATGATTAGAGATGGGCACGAACCACCATCTCTCTCTGTGTGTTTCTCTGTTGCTTTTAATAGTAATATTATCATAATGATCTCAAAACTGCAGAATTGTAAGGGACCCAATGAATCAAGGAATCCAGCCCATGTCAAGGAGGCCTTCTGGCTCTGCAATCCAGTACTTTAAGCCGTTGAGCTACCTAGATGGTGATATTTTGTCTGCCCGCCCCACCCCCCAGCCCCGTCACCACCGAACGAATGCCCTGAAGGCTCTCCAATGGGACAGGACGAGGGGGCTCAACAAAGCCCAGATCAGTGGGTGAACACCCGTGGAACATTTATTCTTCTGCTATAGGCTTCCTCCTCTTAATGGCAGAGAAATAGGCCCCTGCAGGGGTTCGTGTGCATGCGGTGCATTGGTGTGACTGCCATGTTCTAGTGGAGTCGTTAAATTGGGCCCCACGGCCTGCAGGATTTGCCCTGGAATGCAGAAGGGCTTCCTTTCTCCAGGCCTCTCCTCGGGCACCGACGGTGGCTCAGCTCTTATGGAACCTCCATGGGGGGCAGCCTGGCCAGCGCTACCCAGTTGCTTCCATGTAGGGTGGTGGTGGGGAGTTGCAGAAGGCACCCCTCCTGGGCAAAGCATGGCCCCATCCTGCCCAGCTTCCCAGAGCCTCAAGGCTCCAGGGCCACCAGGCAACGGGCAGCGCCTGTCCACAGCAGG